TGATGAAATGTTGGGGGGAAAAAAGTTAAAAGTATGAGGGAATTTGCAACTGAACATATGCACTTTTGTAAATGCTTGTGTTTATAACAGTAGTGCCTAAAATCTGTTTCCTCCTGACTATTTTTTTCCCCAGGCATTTATCAGTGGTGGAGGAGACACAGATGTGTATGTTGTGATGTGCAGGACAGGAGGTAAAGGACCTAAAGGAATCTCATGTTTGGTGGTTGAGAAGGGAACACCAGGCCTCAGCTTTGGCAAAAAGGAGAAAAAGGTGCAGTCTGCTGATGCCATTATTGTGTATTGTAGTTTTCCAGTTATCCACTAGATGGCAGATATGATCCAGCATGTGTGTTTATCTTCCTCTCCAGGTGGGCTGGAACTCTCAGCCTACCAGGGCTGTAATATTTGAGGATTGTCCTGTTCCAGTGACCAACCGGCTGGGCGATGAAGGGCAGGGCTTCAACATCGCCATGAAGGGCCTGAATGGAGGCAGGATTAATATTGGTGAGGAAGAAAATATTGTGGAAAAAATTCGCACTACTTTGCTTTTATTTATTTTTATTCTCAAAATACAGAGTATTTATATTGTAAAAAAAACTGTACAGTACAATACTCTATTTGGTTTATGTTACTCTGTTATTTTGGTACACTTATCTAAGGTGCACATTGTGTGAGCACTTCTGCTATAACCTTTGCTGCTGTAAGCACCACAAGTTCCCCATTGTGGGACAATAAAGGGATTTTCTATTCTATTCTATGAAGTGTGTAGATCGCTTTGCTTAAAACGAAGTGGAATACATTGATATCAGACAATATCACGGTAAAGGTGTCTGTTTAAAGGTAAATCTAGATTCTTCACTTAGAAATGTGAAATGAGGAGTTTCAAAGCAGATGGATTGGAGCTGCTTATTTTTCATTTATTCTTTATTTGAAAATATCTGAAATTTTGTTTAGATTTTTATTGGGTAAATAAAATTATATTTCATGTATTCAGTACGTTGTGTTTTATGATCTTGTTTTTTTTTTTTAAACCAAGTTTGTAAATGGTATTTTCTGTGCAAGAGGACAACCTGCAGGAGGCAGTAGAAGATGTTTGTCACTTCATTGCCACATAAAACCTTAAACAGCCTTTTATTGTTATCAATATCTCTGAATATTAGTTCTTATTTCATTGTAGAAAAATTGAAAATTACAATTTTACATTTATTTAGGGAAAAAAATCCCTCATGCATGATGTGGGTTGACTTACTAGTTTTGTTCTTATTTTTTTATTTTGAGGGGGAAAAAGCCTACCAATGTGTGGATTATAATTTAAAGTAAAAAAGGTCTTCCAAAGTCTCACATCTTAGCTTTTGTCGTATCCATCTAAGGTTTTTTTTTATAGACAAGCTGTCTCCTCATCAGCTTGGAATGTGCCTAATGGACGCAGGTCTTTGCATTAATGATGTGGATACTGTAGCAGAATCCCGAAGTGATAAAAGAGTAATGCTTTCATTCTTCTGCTGCAGAACATTCTTGTTTTTGTAGATATAATAAACCTATCAGTATCTTTAGTCATTGAGGTTCTTTTGCTGAATTCTTATTCTTTGGTAAAAGCTTAAGAATAATTTCATGCTGGTTTATTTTCTCTCTGTTTACTCCATCATCAGCGTCTTGTTCTCTGGGAGCAGCACACGCCTCTGTGCTTCTGGCCAAGGATCACCTGTTGGTGCGCAAGCAGTTTGGCGAGGCACTCGCTAATAACCAAGTAAGCAGCTTTAGATTTCTTAAACACACTAACTAAATAACTAGATTCTTTACTCATGAGCATTTAACTTAGTGTTCCCTGTCTCTTTGCACATCCTGGGTGTAGTTCCTGCAGTTCAAGCTTGCAGAAATGGCCACCAGGCTGGTTGCATCTCGCCTTCTGGTGCGTGAGGCTGCCACTGCGTTACAGGAGAACCGAGCTGATGCCGTTTCCCTCTGCTCCATGGCTAAACTTTTTGTAACAGACGAGTGCTTTAATGTGAGTACAGCGTCTCAACTTCCCACATTACAATCATAACCTTCCAAGTAGCTTATTAGTTTACCCAGACTGGTGTTTAGAGTAAAGGATTTCTGAAAAAAATAAAGATTGCATGCATTCACACAGTAAAATGTATATATGCATTTATTGTCCCAAACAGAATGAAATCCAGTGTATTTGGTGCTTATTATAAGTAAAATTGTGTGTTTTGTAATTCATTACAAAATAGTTTCAACTGAACTTCAAGTTTCAGCTCTTGTCACTGATCCTAACATGAATCAGTTCTGGTCTTTGATTGGACCATTCAGACACAGAAACCGTTATATTGTATTTCTGGCTTTAGTTTAGGCTCCCTGTTCTGCTGGAAGATGAACCTCAGCCTCATTCTGAAGTCCCAACTCTGAGCGGCTGCTTTAAATAAAAAAAAAAAAACCTGCCCACAGCATAATACTGCCATAATACTTATTTGGAGGATGTCTTAGGGTGATGTGGCATGTGTTTGCAGAGCAGCTGTTTGTATACCGAGATTAAATCACACACAAGGTGACTATTTCCTGATTATTCAGCTTCTGAGGAATTTACAGGTGCAATAGAAAAAGGAGGTTGATTACAACCGTATAATACACTTTGCTGCGTAAAGAAAGAAAACCATGTTCTGCATTTGTCTGCCTTTGCAAAACCCAGAAATGTTAGGAATGTAAAGACATTTATATTCCAATAATTGAAAAAAAACGAATGCTTGTTATTTTAGATGGCTCAACGACTTTTTCATTAGTTTTAGAACTATTTCTCCGTCTGGGTCAGTTTGACCTCTTAAAGTCTCAGAAAAACAAAAACTCCTCTTAGCCGAGTTAAACAGCTTTTATTTGTGGTGCAACGGACGAAATGCAAATTTAATATGGGAAGTGGTTTTTGGAATCCAGATAAAATGAAGCTTTTCTGGGTGTTTTAAACCTCTTACTCCAAAACTCTTCATAGATGGAGGAAATATCACTGATTGGTCATCATTCACATACGGGATTATCCTATGGGTCTATTTAGGAAATACTCCTGAACTTTTTACCACAGAGGGTGTTTAGAAATATATATTTTTTTAAATTAGTAATGTAGATTGACGTGCAGCTTTATAGAAAATATTGTCAGTTTCTATGTTTTGTTTTTCTGCAGATCTGCAACCAGGCTCTTCAGATGCACGGTGGCTACGGTTACCTGAAGGATTACGCTGTACAGCAGTTTATGCGGGACATCAGAGTCCATCAGATTCTTGAGGGTAGGTTTATAATTCTCTTTCCTCTATAGGATCTCAGTTTGATTTGTGAGCTGACATAATTTTTCTCCCACAGGAACCAATGAGGTGATGAGGATGATAATTTCCCGAAATCTGCTCACAGAGTCCTGATAAATCGTTTCTGGTGGATGCTCAGTAGATCCTGCATTTGTGGTCTTGATTGATTGTTATGGTTTTGCTGGTCATGAATTACTCCCTGCATCACACCTCTTCTGGTTTTGACAGGAATCATCAGAGAGATTAGTGTAAAGCAGGTAATATTTTTGTAGTAAAACATCAGATCTCTGTTGTGTTTGTGATGAGTTTTCGGGGTGGAAATCAAGATTCTACCTGCTTCTAACACTAGTGCATCGTCTTAGTACACATACGGTTAGACAATTGGTAGTTTGGGAATCACCACCCAAAGGTCAAGCTTATAGTGAAATGTGTAAAATAGACCCTGTCTTTACTTTTTGACATATCTCACATTGTATAACTGATAAAGAGAATTTACATACTATACCATGTATTTAGGAATTGTGCATTTTTCTAAGCTTTGGAAATGAACTATTTCAGAAAACTCTTCTAGAAACCAGAGAAACTTTCTGGGTTTATTTCCCTCCCTCCATTTACACTGAACTTAATAATCTAGTAGACATTGAACTGTGAACAATTCTCCTGGTAGGCGCAACATTTCTCTAAAATCCATCTAAATCTTCAGACTGTAAAGCATTTTTGATAATTGTATTTTGTTTACTATAGTTCAACCACTTCCGTTAATTCCAGTCTCCACTCCACACTTGCTATTAACTTTACCTGCAGTTTTACATCCCTCTAAGTAGTTAATAGGGTTTCTGCCACTCCATCAAAGTTAGACTTCAATCGAGACTTTGACTATGCCGCTTCTAAGCCTTCATTTTTGTTTTGTTTTGTTTCTTCAGCCATGTCAAGGTGGACACGATAGGGATTTAAGGGTTATTGTTGCTTAGTAACGGAGTAAATGTGCCTGAGTTTAATGTCAAACTGATGACCAGACATTCTCCTTTAGGACTATGTGGTGGGAAGCATGAGGTTCCAGACTGATATGTAGGTACTATGCTCTTTTTTTTTTAAATAGTTTCTATTCAAAATGTAAGAAGACATGCTCTCCAGAAGTCCTACTGTTATCAGTTTATTGATTTCTGTTCTTTCCAAGAACTTTTGGGATCAGTTTGAGGAAATGTCTTTTTGTTCTTTTTGGTCAGCAGTTGTTTTCACCTTGGAGTTCCAGCATGGAAGGGTATTATTTTCTTCAGGTTCATATTGTTAAATGATGAAAACAACCTTAATGAGCTCCTGGATGTTTGTCATGAAAAAAAACTCTGCTCCATTGAGTCTCTCCTGTGCAACTCTTTCCAGATTGGAGCATTGGATGTCTGATATAAGAAGAAAGTCAGGCTGCAACAGTCAACAGCCCAATTTAGATTAACGATTTGAGAGATTTCAGTTCCAGGGTATAAAAGTTCAGAATATCATCACTGATTTGCTGAAAGAATGACTGCATAACTAGAAATACAATCTATCTGTAAAGTTTGGTTTGTTGAGGTGCAGCGGCTGTTAACTTGTTCCATGGTGGCCTTCCACATGATGTTCTGCAGTTAGCAGAGCAGTCCAAAATAAAACATACCAACACTCCTAAAATTACTGATGTCATGTACCTGATTATGTATTCAAAATATAATCTTTGCATTAGTGGGCAACGACTCCAGAATACTTTATTTAAAAAAGTAAATGTGGGCAATGAGAACAGCATGTAAAATAACACATGAAACTCTTTAAAAGCATCAACCACAGCCATGTTATTTCCAGAGTTTACAAGAATAACTAGCATTAGAACAGAATAAATCTGCTGAGCTGTTTTCTTGTTAAATCAGTTCAATTTACCTAAATGTCTGCAGTAACTGATGAAAATCAAGCACCTTAACAATTATGAACCATCAATATTACACTCAATATTCAGTTTACATTCAAGCTACTGTAACTGGCAAAATACTCTTTATATGAATGCTCAGTACACACCATAATCATACTGATATTTCTGCAACAGTTTAAAAGATTTGAACAAAATGAACAAGTTAAGGAAAGTAAAATATCTGCATCTAAACTGAGTTATTTTGTTTAGAACAAAATCCTGGCAAATATGACTGAAGACTATTTCCTACATAGGCAGTAAATTGGACATCAGCATGTCCGTTATTGGGTTATTATACAAACATTAGAAATGTAGACAAAGCATAGTTTCCAGTAATAGCAAAAAGCATTTAGCTTATGGGACTTCTCACTGTGTAACTGTTATATTAAAACAAGCTTATTCTATATAAGGAAATGCTCTGAGGCGTGTAAAAATAAAAATATATTTCTCTGTTGTGGGTGTGAATGATACATAAAAAAAAACAAAACAAATGTAGAAGAGAAATAAGGAATGCTGCACTGAGTTTGATTTCTTCAACAACCTGGAAGGAGAGTTTTTGCAAACGAGTCTCTCATCAGATATTTTCCACTTGGACAGCTGCTCACATCATGGGGAAATGTTCTCCACCTGAAGGCATCCTCTCCGTCTGTCCTGTACGGAGCTACACCAGGGAGCCGGCTTGGCTCTGAGCAGGCACCATGACGGCTACGGCCCCCATGCGTGTCAGAGTGGAGGAGCTGATCTGTGGGGACACAGTAACTGGAGGGGGAACCTGAGGCTGAGGCCCTTCAGTCCTTTTTAGCGGGATGCCGACCGCAGGGCTTCTGAGGATCTGTGGGGGCCCTCCGTTTGCACAGGGGGGTCGCTTGTTTTTGCGTATAGGAGTGCCTCCAATATTGTATCCAGGAAGCCCCTGCAGGCTGCAGGCCGTCCCGGGTCGTAGCTGGTAGGCGTTGATCACCGAGCCTGTGTCTGATGCCGAAACGGGAGAGTATGGGTATGGGAATTTGGGCGGATCCTGCGATCGGGGGCTGGTGGTGACAGAGGACAGGGTGCCGTTTTTTGACACAATGTCTGAGCCTGTGTTACTCTTTGCCCATGAAACCCTCTTTGGTGCCTGAGCATCCTCCCTGTAGCAGAGAAAGATGTCAAATGAAATAAATAAAGGGGCAGAAATGCATTTTAAATTTAAAAAACAGAATTAAATAATTTGCTAGTGAAGATTATTTGTTCTTGGTTAAATTGAGTTGATTTTTTTCAAACTGTAGAGAGGGAGAGAGATTACTTTTCCACATTATGTTACCTCAAAACATCAAAGCATTTTACCAGACCCTTTTCTTTACATTAAAAAAATGTGGTGTACATTCATATTAGGGCCTCATTAAAGTCAGTAGTTTATAGATTTTTTTTGTGTGTGTGAAATTGAAGTTAAAGGGCTTTTGAGGAAAGTCACATCCAGTTTTGCACATCTACCCAGTGAGAGAGATGCAGCTCCAACAGCTCTATCCATCCTCTCTCTGAATAATAATAGTTAAGTCTTGCAAAAGATTTCCAGTTGAATTTAGGTCTGAATTTTAACTGGGTAAAGCTTCTGAATTTGTTTGACTAGAAGAGTCAGAAGCTTTTGACCACTAGTCCAAAATTCTCATGTTGAAATAAGCAATAAAAGCTTTTTTCTTTTTTTTTTTATAACTCAAAACACAAAAACAATTTTTTGGATGCTCAAAATTAAACTAAAAATGCAACATTTTAAATAAATAAAGTAGTATTAAACTTCTTTAGAACCTCCCTGATGCTATCTTCTAAGACTTGGCTCATCCATGTTATTTAATTAACCTCTGAGGCCTTAACAGAATGGCTGAAACTATACAAGAATTATACTGCAAACAATTTGATAATCAATGGCCACACTTAATTTTATTTGGGGGTATCAGAGTGAAAAAAAAGCAAAATAAAAAAAGGATGATACATTTTCTTTATGGGTAAAAAAAATCTATATCACAGCCATGCGCTGCTTTGGGTTGATCAACTTCTTAAAATGCCCGATAAAATACATTTAAGTTTGTGGTTAAGATGATAAAATGAGAATAAGTTAAAGAGCTGTGAATACTTTTGCAAGGTGCTGCAGAGAATAGGAATTAAAGAAAATGTTGTAGTCAATAAATATACATAAGTAAAACATTCATTATGCTTTTAATATTTGTTGTTAAAAAAAATTTGTAGCTGTTTTTCTTTTTAACTAAAATACAATTTGCAGTTTAAAATTTACAGTTTACATTTTATCCGCAGTTCATGGTTTTAGTTCAGAGATAATTGAAAATGTCCCTGGATTAGATGAAGTGCAGTTAGTAAAGCAATGATGTTGCATAGAATGAAAGCCTCACTTGATCTCATTGGCCATCTCCTCCTCCGAGTCCTGTCTCCTCTTTAGTATGAATACGAGGATAAGCATCATGGCTACCAGTCCCACCACAGACCCCAGGGTCGCTGCAGCGATCATTCCAGCATTGGAAGCTATGAAAAATAAAATCCACAAACAGCATTTAGAGGCAGTGTCACAGCTCAGAGTGTGGTGGAGAACTAGCAGATTCTCTGAGGGCGTGCGTACGGGTGATAACCTCCAGGTTAATGGAGCAGCTGTCAGTGCCGGCCGTGTTGCTGGCTCTGCAGATGTATTTCCCTGACATGCCTTTGGTGAGGTTGCTGAGCCTGAGGGTGCCGTGTCTCTCATCTGTAACACAACCACAACGTTAAACACATTTCAGAAACAAACAAGTCGCAGAGAAATGGACTGATGTAGCATAAAGTTCTAACGAATAACTAAACAATCAAAACTAAATAATCAGTTCCTATATTATGGTTCATTGAAAATGTATTTACACCCTTTGATTTTTTAGAAGTTAAAACAAAACTCTTTATATTACTTTTCTGAACGTAATTACACAAAGCACAAAAATATAAGGAAAATAACACTTTTTTTTTTTAGTCTAAAAGTAAAAAAAAAATTAAAATTAATTAGTCTGTTCTTTGGATTTATCCTCAACTCTGAAACCCCGAAAAAAAAATCTGCTACAGTATCCAGTAGAGCAAAAAATCTGCTCTATTGTAGTCACCTTATGTGTAACAAATATAAAAAGATATGCAAATATAGCTCATCTGTAAATCCAGAAGTGCTTGTAAAGTAACATTATCACATAAAGGCCGTTGGGAACTATGACGGAGCTGAGAGTATCAACAGATGAGCTAAGAAGCTCTGTTAGAGCCATGAACTACACCATTCTGGCTTTTATGGCAATTTGAAAGGGGATCATGAGGGACAAAGAGTCCCCAAGTCTGATTAGGTAAAGTCTTAAATCCTAACATGTTTAAGATGTAACTTTGGTATTTATACTTTTTTTTTTTTTTTTTTTTTTTTAGTAACCCTTAGAGATGGGTTACCTAGGTAAAGTGCTCTGTAAATATTTAGCGTAATTAATTCTATTTTTAAAATTATATTTATCATTATTGCCTCCAACTTTCTGCCTTAGAACCTCATCTTCCTTTTAGCCCCACTCTATTCTCCCTGTTGAACACACACAATCTGCTCATCATCAGTCTAATCAGTCATAACACATCCTAACATTTGCACAGTCGTCTTTGTAGATCACTTCCCAACACCCATTTTTTGCATGAACTAAAATAAAAGTGCATGTGCAATATAGAGCCTCTTATTCAGGATCTATGAAGATCGGGCCCTTACTGTATTTGTAAGCAACTTGAAATGTTTTATTGATTTCTATAAAGAAGTTGTGAGAAATTGCTGAACATGTTTGCATCTGTTACACAATCCGTTCCTCCCTGCACAGCTGGTTTTAAACCTGTGAGCCTCACCACAGGCTGCAGAACAACAAACAAGCCTCATGAGGGACTTATCACATCAAATCCCTTTAAATCCAATCTTCCTCGTCATATTGCAACATGTCTTCATCGATTTTTATTTATGCGGCAACATAAAAAATGCTACATGTTTTTTTAGAGTAAAATCACCTTCTGCACGGCCGTTTACCACGTGTGCCTTTGTGAATGTCTAATGCCCTCTAAACCTAGGCAAACCAAAAGGCGGTGAAAGTAATGGAACAGAGGAATTCATCCATATCATCCCAGATGAAAGGTCATGGTTCAAATGATGCGAGAAAGCAGCATATTAACTCCACATAGCAGCATTTATACTTAAATTACAGCAAATAGAAAAAAATGAGCTTTGCGTTCTTGCCAACCTTGTCTTATAACAGGAAAATAGAAGCTGATGTGCAGAAAGGTTAGATTCCCTTCTGATCTCAACCTGTGGAGAAACAGGTGGACCTCTTGGCTGATGGAGAAATGTTTTTCTTAAAATAGCCCCTGCTTTGCAATCTATACATTCATCCAATACTAAGCAGAAGTCTTCAGTCTTATATTTTATACCATTCTTAAGAAGCTAAAATTATATTTTTTTCCCCTGGCTTGTCAACAGAACACATCTACAGATTTACAGGTTAGGAGAAGGTTTTGATGTGGAAAGTAGACCAGTCAGGTGTTTAAAATGAAATAGGTAGGAGCAGAAAGAAAACCTTTAGGAATGGAAACCGAATTTTCCACAGTGGCATGAGGGATGTTCATTTCAGTCTGTTTCACAGGAAAAAGTGAGACAAATAATTTGCAGCAAAGCTGCATTGTTTTGTTACTGAAACTGCAGTATCTCAGAATTTTAGCATCATGTAACAACAATAAAAAAAAAAAAAGGAGAATTTTAATATGTACATGTACTACATTGGCGTGTGCAGATGTCTAGAAAAGTCGCTCACACCCTCAACTAGGAGTTCGGCCACCAAAACCAGGCTCACACTGACTATGGTGTGACTGAACTGCAGGCATGGTGCAAAATGTTACCCACGCTGAACAGAGCAGCCGGTCCCAGCTGCAGAAACGTCACTTGAGTGGACATAACCCCACATGGGTCAGTGGAGTTGCAGCGTATGTCAATGCCCATAAATATCCTTTTTCATCCTCTAAAAGCACCTCTGTTTCCTTCTCTTTTTGCTTTGCCATTTTCACCGGACAAATTGACCTAAGTTGGTGCTTAGATTTGTTTCTAAAATTTACTGGAACTCTTTTCTCTCTTATGTCTGACTTTTCTAACATGGCTTGTTAAATCCAGGAGCTTGATGCAGAGGCCGCTCCAGCGTCCGGTCAAGCTTCCTTCTTATTTTTGAGAGGCACTGCCTCGTTAGCCCATCCTGCACTGTGGCCCAATGAGAACCTATTGATTTGATTGATTTTGTTTTAGTGATGCCCTAACAGAAGCCACACTGTAGCCAGTGTGAGCATGGTGTAAACATAATTTTTCATCAAATTTCTGCATCTAAACTGAAACAATTGAATATATGGAAAACTGTGGTAGTAGGAGACGCAGCACCAACAGGGACACCAGATGATTTTCAAGTAAATTCCACAGAAGGATTTGTGGAAGCTAAACAAATAATGTATGGAGTCTGGAGTCAATGCCTCACCAACCGCTACATTAAAAAAAATTCCTCTGCATGGCCTTAAAACGTCTTTTCTAATTCCACTGTTGTTCATTTGTCTTATGTCTACTTTTCAGATGAAGATAAAGTATAGATAGTCTCCAGAAAGATTCCTCCACAGATTCAACATGGTTTGACCATGGTGCCATTGTGCTTAATTGGCCTCTGCATATACACCCAACTTAAACCTAATAGAGAACATATGAGGTATCGTCCAGATGAAGATGGGAAACAAGACCCAATAATGCAAATGACCTGAGGGCCACTATCATAGCAACCTCAGCTTCTGTTCCACCTGTGCAGATCACCTCCACACCACCCTGTATGAATGCAATAATGGGACCAATACAAGTACTGACTGCCTGGAATATCTGGTACAAATATAGTTCATTTATAAATCTTACTTAACACTTACACTTAATTTGGGGTTTTCATTTTCTATAAACTAAAATTACAAAAAAAAATTGAAAAGAAATACTGTATGTATAATAGGTCATTTGGAGTTTTACCTTTAAAGATCAGTGACAAAAACATGGAACAGATTATATCGGCCTGCACCTAAAATCTCCGATCTTAGCATGCAGATAAAAACCCAATGCTTCTGTTTAAAGCAGGGGTGCCTAACCTTTTTTAAACCAAGATCTGCTTTTGAGGTTGATGGCATGCCGAGATCTACCAAGCCAAACACAAGGGATGGGCAGTATTTGTTTTTTATTTTCACAGGTGGAGAATAAACAGTAAGTCCAACAAACAAGGAAATTATCAATTGTGTCAAAAAATAGGTTCCAAAAACAGAACTTAATCTTATAAGAACTTCACACCATATCTCCCTCTCTCTCTCACTAACTCATCAGACTCACCAAAACTACAGAAAAGAGCATTCAAGATCTCCAAAGGCTGTGCAGTCAAAAATCTAAATAAACCAACTGATACACACACATACACACAGTCAAGTAGAGATAAAAAATAAACAAAAAAATGTCAGAACTGTAAATTTACAGTCATGTTTATATCACTGTTTATATCACAAATATATATATATATATATACTGGTATATATCTTTTTTTTACTACTTTTCAAGGCTGCACTTTAAAAAAAAGATGAAATTGTCCACAGAGCTGTTCCAAACTAAATTTATTTTTGTTTTACACTTATGTAAACAAGATGAAAAATAAATCTGTCTAAGTCAAAGATCACTTAAAAGCAGGAAGAAGGAGAAGGGAAGTCCACCATTTCAGAATGAAAAACTTCACTGGGCATTGGTAGAAAAAGTGGCAGATGGATTAAAATTCAACAGGAAAACGGATAAAAATGGGAAAATACTAAGAACAAACTCTGTGGATGTGAAGATGTAACATACAGCAGAATGGGTTGTTGACTGTTTTAGAAACTCTTTAATTTCGGCAAAAGTTCCAAAAATCTTTTGAGGAATCTGCCTTGGCTCAGCCACCTGACGATGGTGCGCAGCAGCAGATCAGTGTGGTCTGCATCTGCCTCCTAGAGCTGGGCACGGAATAAACGCCTCTGAAAACTCCTGGCCCGAACAGAGCAAGCGATCTTCATTGCAACGTCCATGACATGTTTCATACCGTATTTTCACGACCATAAGGCGCACCGTACTAAAAGGCGCAGTCTCAGTTATGTGTCCCATTTCTGTATTTAACACACACATAAGGCGCACCGGACTATAGGGCGCATTTTTTATATACAGGTACATGTCCTCTACTACCTTTAAATAGCTCTACTGCGTATTTAAAAATACAGCGGGGGCAAAACTGAGTATGATTGTGCTTTATTCATGTATTTATTACAAAGTATTAATCAAACCTGCGAGCTGGCCATGAGACAGACACATCGCAGATGACACAGCGCTGTGATTACTCCTAAATTAACTTAAAATCCTGAAACCTGCCGACGGAATATGTTCGCTTTTATTGCCGGTATCCTGGTGCATGCACTGTAAATTATTTAGATGAAAAACACCTGCCAGCCACCGCGGTGAGGCTGCTGTTGAAGGGATATCTCCTGTCGGTGCACCGCTGGTATGTGGGGGTCTGAGCGCCTCCGACAGAAATAGATAATCTGGATGAACTGACTGCAATTAAGTTTTCAGGTGGACTTTCTCACTTAAAAACATATTAAAACTACTTTATTCCCACTGATCACAGCAAATATAGCTGCAAGATT